AAAACGATGCTGTTTTAATGGAGACGCGGTTCCATTACGGTCGTCGGAAATATCAAAGAATGATGCATCGTTGTAGCATGTATCCAACTGAAAGCTAATTGTACCCAACGTACCAATTGTGTCGTCTTCCTAAAATGTCGGCGATCAACATTGGCTGTTGCGTGCGCGGAAATGTCAGTAGTTGCAGGATCGAATAATTAGCACGCGGGAGGGGGAACACTTCAGTCGCTTCATGCTGTGTTTTTGTCCAGCAAGACACTAGATGTGATTACTGTTTCGTCTTCTTTCAATGCGCTTTACTGCAACATGTAGTTGCCACTGAGAATGAAGTCGCAGTTAGGAGGCCAACCCAATGCAAAAACGCGTACAAGTTTACTTTAAAAACATTGTGCACCTGTCACAAATGTCATGGTGTGACAAAATCCAACAGGTCATGAGAAACCGACCAGCAACTTTGATTTATAAACCGGAAGTTTGAGTTTAGTTTTAGTTTAATCTGAAAGATACAAAGGTGTCTTAAGTGAAAAAATCTAAGCTATAGCCGAAAATGGATACGTCGCGAAACTAGGGACGTGCGACATACAATGACTCCGAGCAGTATGATAAAACTCAATGGAAAAGTAACCCCCGGAGGTACAGTTTATTTACGGCACCTTAAAACTAATTATGTTAAAGGCATAATGAACTAGGTTCCCTGATTTGGGGACTTCAACAAATTCAAATAATTAGCAGCGAGCCAGAGGAGAGAAAGGTTTTGTTACAGTGACTAATAAAAATCCAAAGTGATTCAAATAGCATATTTCTGAACTTCGACCTATCTTGGAGTTGCGGCAAGTCACACTTACCATCTCAACAACCGAATACCTTCCTTTCCGAAAGGGTCATGTCAGACGGCTCGATAGCTCAGTTCAAATACATTGTCAAAAGTTATGGTCAGTTAATCGCAGAGGAATGTGCGTACACATGGACCTCCAAGGAAATCAACTTCGTTCCTCGGCGTTAAGGGTTGCGAGCAAGCACCAAGCTACCAGGCCAAGAAATATTCCAATGAGCAATATCATATACAGAGTAACAAAGGCATGAGGGTGAGAAGACAGTGAATATGGCAAGATTATTCAGTTTGTTATTCGCCTAGACGCAGTTTCGAACATAATCCGCGAGTAAAGATGAAATTATTCAGGAGGCTTGGCAGATTTGCTTAATTTAGTTGACCCTATAGTGAAAAAACTCGCAGCATTCGGCGGGATTTTAACCCGCATAGTAGAGAAGGCGTTTACGCAGCCAATAATCTACCAGTTGAGCTACAAATTCCACGCCTTGCACCATGAGTTTAATTACACTTGGGTCGATTTTACTCACCCAACTTTACCGCTCGTATGGAATCCACCAATACTGACTAGCAAGTTAATTGCCCAAGCAGAATTTCCTAGGCAATCATCTATAATCCACCAGAATGACTACTAAGCTGACTTAAAAAAGATGAATTTGACTCATTTCGAAGCGGCTGCTGCTCTAGTTTCCCCAGTTCTTGTCGGTCTAACTCTGGTGCAGACGTTCACCTCGTGGTGATGGTAGCAATAGTGCTAAAAACTTAAGAGGGCGTAGCAAAACAGAAATACCTGGCGGACCGAGCAGGACTACGGTCATTTAGAAGGAAGGGATTTTCTGGGGTGTGAAGTGTGCGGACGCATGATCGTATTTTTTACTATCTATGACGAGTTGTGAATCGTCTTCCATTGAGACCTGTTGTCGTTCATGCACAGAAAGTTAGAAGATTTAATGAACACTTCAGAACAATGAAGGGGTCAATTTCAGGGAGCACCAAAGGCAGAGATAAATATCCTTTAATATATTCCCAGAAAAGTTCGATTCAGTATTGGTTCCTGGACATTCTTTGTTTTATAGTATATATTTCAATATTTAATGCCAAGCTATTTCTCATTTCTACAGAAATAAATGTGTTAACTTGAAGTTAGTTCTGCGGCACAAATAGCACCAGGTTGGCCCAAAATGTGATAGGAATCCTTAAAAGCTTACTTGCAGCAGAAAGGTCTGAGTACTACCAACTGACCTAAGAGGATCACCGTGAGCCGTAAATTTAATTACGTTTTCGGTCGATTTACCCACCCAGCCTACTGCACCTATGGAATCCACCAATACGGATAGAGTAAGCTTACTAACCAGGCAGGTATTCCGAAGCAATCAATCTAGAATTCACTAGAATGACGACCAGGCACACTAAAAAATTAAAAGGGGTAGCAACTTAGTCATTGAACTATTTAAATCTGCCACCCTCTCCTAATAAAGATGAAATTAAGTAATTTCGAAGTAGCTGCTGTCCTAGTCTGCCCACTTATTGTCAGTCTAGTGCACACATTCTTCTCGCGGTGATGGTAGTAATAGTGGAAACAGAAGGACCTGGTGGACCGAGCATGATTGCGGTAATTTAAATGAATTTAATGAACACTAGATTTATTTAACGTTCAGTTTTAAGGAGCACCAAAAGCAGAGATAAATATGCCTTAATATATTGCCAAGAAAGTTTCGATCCGGAGTTGGTTGCTCGGCATTCCATCTCTGTTTTATGGTATATATATATATAT